ACGACCTGCTAGCTACAGCGAAAGGTTATCACTCCTAGAAGGTTAATAAACATCTTCAAATGATTGTATAAAATGTACTTTAATCTATCTGCTAAAAGGGATGTAACAACTGTTTATGCAAATGGTTCGATCGATTTTTAAGTTTTATGTCTTATATTGCATTAGTGTTTTGAAACAATTTGAGCAAAAAACACTTACTCTTGATTGAATAAAATATTTCTAATTAATTTGCTAAAATTGATGTACTGATTTCTTGAACGAAAGGCTGGACAGATTTTTATGATTGGTGGCTCAAATTATTGGGTGAGATCAGATGAATGTTGTGAAACGCTTTGGACTAAAAGTATGTAACGATTTTTCGTGCAAATGGCTGGACCGATTTTTAAGTTCGATGACTCAAATTACTAGGTGAGACCTAGTAAATATTTCATTTTTTAGTTTCATTTTCAGGAACTATGAGTGGCTTCATATCAAAAATGGATATATATTATTTTTAAAATATTAAGGAAAAACGATTTTTGTAACATAGCTTCGATGAAAAACAATATCAATGAACTTTTTTTTCATGATTCAACATTAACGTTTCTTAATAAAATCATCACAAAAAGTTTGAGTTTAACTTATAAAATAATTACATTTTCTAAATATAACAGATGCCCATCTTTTGCATGACGTCACTCATATATGTTAAATATAAATTGTCAATGATTGAGAGAAAAATAAAAACCGGACCAGAGAAATCAGGAAATCTAATGTAAGAGAAAGTACTAGCATACCTACTTAAACATCTTGGTTGATATTTAGGGATATTGATATCTACAAATAATTAAACTTAGGTAGTTATCGGTTGCTTTCCACTCCACATTACAGCTCCTAGCTATTTCGCCCCAAGTACCCAAAAGTCTTGAGTTTCGTTGGAAGAGGTTAAGTTAAAATATTCATAGACTTCAGTTTCCCTAGCAATCTACCAGGGTGTTTAAGTAGATATGCTCAGAAATTTCCTTAGAATGAAATGGATTTTCCAATTAATGTAATAGGATTTTCTTTTTTTAATTTTGTATGTATGTAACAAGTTATTCTTATGTCCGTTGAACCATTCCGGAAGACAAAACCGTGAAAGAACATTTCAAGATTATGTTTAGTCCTTAAAACGTATAGTGATAATAGTAATTTGTTTTGGCTATATGAAACTAATGTACGGACAAGTTTATACCTACTATCATAATTAAATATTATGACAAATAAATATTGTGATAATACAAAAATAATACCAAGACCTAGATAGGATCAGTGCCTGGGCAAGTTTGAATAATTTAAAGCTAAACGCGATGAAAACTCAGGCCATTATTATGGGTTCCAGGTCTACTCCTAAATCCATCTCCTTCCTATCTCCTTTAGTCATCAAGGATCATCCAATCACATTCAGCTTCTCCGTTAAAAACCTAGGGATCACCATAGACGAAAATCTTTCCTGGAAACCCCATATCGCCCTCATCTTCCGAAAGTCAATAGGTACCCTTAAGTTTTTTCATCGCTCCCGCCACCTACTTCCACAACCTATCCACAAGCTTCTTGTATCCTCTCTTATTTTCCCCCACTTTGAGGACGGCTTTGTGGTGTACGGAGGCATCCCGATGGTACTCGAGGATAGATTGAAGCGACACATGAATTCCTACTTAAGATTTGTCTTCGGTACATCGAGGCGGTCTCATGTGTCCCACCTTTACGACGAGTTAAAGTGGCTCTTCCCTTCTTTCCTCAGACATTATTTCCTTGGATCTTTCCTATTCCAAACGATCAACACCCGACATCCTTCCTACATCTACAGTCTCCTACAGTTCAAACCCGTGGTCCACTCCCAGAAAACAAGATCCCGTGTTTCTGACCTTTTTTTATCTCTTCCCATAGAACTAAGACATTTGAACATTCCTTTATTGTCCGATCCACTGCCTTCTGGAATTCCTTGCCATCTGATATCCGCCATGGCTCTTCCTTGTCCTCATTCAAATATCATCTCACATTCCAAAATGAAGTTGTCAAATGAAATAAATATTATGAATCAAATTTTGAATAAGATGAATAGTTGTTGAAATTGTTTTGAGTTTTAATTTTTAAAATAAACCCATAGTGCTTATAATATTTTGTTTTTTATTTTACCTGATTTTTGTTTTTCTTTTCATTTAAATAATGTTTTCTTTTTTTCCAAATGGTGTTACTTTTTTATTTGTTATTATATAATTTCACTGAAGATATTGTATATATTCTTTAATTTTCATTAATGTAATTTTCGGCCAGATGTGGTTTTTATTTTTTATTCATAAGGAATCTCGTCCCAGAATAAAGTTTATTTTCTGTTCTATTCTATTCTATTCTAAATAAACACAGAACTCAACATATAAACATAAAATAATCGAAAGATGAGTAAAGCGTGAGAAACATAGGATATCGAAGGCAAGCAGTGCATAGCTAACCTCAAAGCAGCTATAAATCTTACAGCTATAAACAAATAAATAAGTCCCTAGCTATGCAATAAACTATGTAATGGCCAATAAAAGGTAAATTGTCATGGGAAATCAAACAAGGAAGGTCTATAACGCATAAATTGATTATTGCCATAAATCGCCTTCAGATCCGATATCTTATTATCACGGATTGAAACAGTTTTTTTTTGTTTTGTTTTTTACAAATGGTTTCAACTTTAACTGTTAATAAAAAAAAAACTTTTATCGAAAAGAGGTTAAAGATAAACGGTTTTTTTCAAAACTGTTAAATAAATGTTCTAGCTTAAAAAAGTTTTCACCTTAATAATACATATGCAATTTTTGAGAAGGGCACATTTTGGCGGTGTTTTGAATTTCTGAGGGGGAACATTTCGAGGGTGTTATTAATTTTCGAAATGAAAAGTTTCAAATCAGGTGACAAGAGGAAAACATAGAATGTTATTTGTTATTTGTATGACTTTTGATTTCTAAAATTATACTTTAGCTTGCACGGTAATTAAAAAGAGGGCAGCAATAAAATATTTTGGAAGAAGGGGAGAGAGGTGTTCATGCGCCATCGGTCTTGGGGGGGATGGGCACCCCTGTATATAAATGTCATTGAAAAGTATTTGTTAAACTTTTACTTATTTTCTTTAAATTAAAAGTTATAAGTACAAACAATTACAAATTATAATAGAAGTTTATAATTATTACACTGCTCAGTATACAGAGTAGAAAAACCAATAAATTCCGATGATCTAGGAACATATCTAAATGTTAAATTTGTAAAAATATATAAAATGGAGTTTTATTTGTTAATCAGAATTGTTTAATTATGAAAATAAAAGCTTTAACGTTTTTGAATTAACATAACTTATATGATTCACATTGTATGATATCGCTGGTATCCGATAGTATGCACAAAACACCTGTTTTTCAGTACGAGTTAAGGAAGTTTGAATGCCACAAGTTATAGCAAAAGACAAAATTATTAAATATAATTAGTAATTAAATCATAACGTTGGTTATTAAAGTTTCGGATTATTCTCTATTTTTTACAACTTGTAATTGTTATTCTATCTATGTAAATGTTTTTTAGTTATTCTATTTATATTTTGTGTCTTTTACTTTAATTTACATTTTGAAAATATTGAGAAAAAAAACCTATTACTTCACAATAGGTAGGGTCATTGGCAACAACTTATTTTAAACTCAATTTCAGAGTTTTTTTTTTACCTATTTTTCATTTTTGTTTAACTTCTCTTTCAAGTATAGAGCTAGATACAATTTCTTCATTACTTTTCATTACAGAGAAAATCTTCTATAAAGTGTGTGTATATTCTTTGAAGATTAGAAATTTTACAGGTTAGAAGTTTTAAGTCCTCTTTATAAATAGGAATATGAAAACCATGATGAATGAAAACCATTAATTTCTTATATTTTGATTTCTATTTTTATATTATTGATGAATACACAATGATGTTACAACATAAATTAAATGTATCCATAGGAACATTTAAAATTTATTTACAGTTTGACATACAAACATTAATAATGCTTATTATAACATATAATAATTATCATAGATTTATATTTATATGCCTGTACAACGAAGGTAAATATTTTGTCAATTTTTCATAACTATGAGCTTTTAAAATTTATTTCTTCGTTACTAAATTATTTAATAAAAAAATGGACGGGTCTTTTACCTTCGGGGCACAGAGGCTTAAAGTAAATTATTTAAAATTAATTTACACTCAAAGTAGAGTGGTAGGTGAAAGTTATATGACGCGCGCACAGCTCCAGATTATTACATAAACATCTTTTTTTATTATTATTATTACTTTGTGTAGTCATAACAAGTAACATTGAATATAATTGAAGTTGTGAACATTATGATCCTGTAAAAAGTATAAAGGAATCGGATGCCTAAAATACTCCTAAACAAGCGATACAAAAAAAATAATAAAAGCTTAACTATAAAATTAATTATCTAATCAAAATTGAAAACATGTTATTGATTTAGGTAATACAATTGATACTGATTGTTATTTTTAAATCTTAAACCGGTTGACCTATGATATTTAAGAGACAGGTCGATAATAAAACTCGATTATCTAAAAAGTGAAAGCAAATCAGAAGAGGCCGGCAACACGAGTCCACTTGACCAGACATATATAAATATAAATTATTTATTATTAATTTGTGTGATATGGATAAGGTTTAGAATGTTTAATCAAGTGTACATTATTTAAATGTTATTGTTATATTTAGAAATTAAGTAAACATTTAAAACAAATCAATATGTTTAGCGGAGTTTTTTAATCAAGTGAGAATGCCAGACATGTGAAAACAATGTTGCACATCGAATAGGATCTAACGGTCTGTGTATACATTATACTAATCTGATCGTTCTCGACGACCTTGCGGTACAAAGAGGTTATGTCACATAGAGGTATAATTGTTCGATTCTATAGAAGTTGATATATTGGATATGGATTAGGTGATTGAGTGACTTACCCTTTTTGGGTGCAGCTGATACCAGAACGACCAGAGAAGCGAGGAACCAGAGCCAAGACATGGCCGTAGACTGGAGCAGGCCTCCGCCAGGGAGAGCCACCGTGTACCTTTCACTTCCACCTCTCTAAGCCCCGGTTTGTCCTCAGGCATAATCTAATCCGTATATATACATATAGCAGCTGTATAAATAATAAATGAAATGTCCCACAATTAGAATTTTTTTATTTTCTTACAATTAGGACAATAGTCATGGTGAGAAAACAATTTCTTAACACCAAATTTACAGAAAATATTAATAAATACAGTTAAATAATGATATTAAAGGCAGCCCAAATCGCTAAAACTCTGATAAGAGAAACAGAGAAAAGCGTATCACAAGTATAGAGCTTTCTTTTCTTCATCAAAGGTATTGAAATCCCGAAAAAAATCTCAAGAAATCTGATAGACTGCGAGACCTGAGCATTAACAAGCACACTAGTAGTGTTGCTCGAAATCGGTCTAGTTCTTGGTTTTGTATAAGTGGTCCAAGACCGCCTAATTGTAGCAAGACCAAGACTGGATCCACGCAATATTTGAGCAAGAATAAGACTGACTGGATCTCTGGAGTATCCAAGACAAATTGCCTTCCAATGCAAGAGGTTCGATAAACTAAGTAGAATTAGTGCCGGGTCAAAGTTGTCGATGATAGTAATAGTTATCTTAGACCAATAAAAAAATAATAATGGAAGGAGATGGTTCGAGGTGGCGGTCATAAACAGGCTAAATAGTGGTAAAACTATTTTATTGGAAGCCGACGTTTCGACCCGACTTTGAGGTCTTCTTCAGGGCTAGAACGGACAAGATACAAAAAGTTTTTTAATTTTTGTATCTTGTCCGTTTTAGCCCTGAAGAAGACCTGCAAAGTCGGTTCGAAACGTCGGATTTCAATAAAATAGTTTTACCACTATTTAGCCTATTTATGACCGCCACCCGGGAATATCTCCTTCCTTTATAATGCAACGATCAACTATTAAATATTTAAAAAAAAATTCTTACAGGAGATAAATGCACCTATTTAAGCTCCTTGTGTTCTTTTGAGATTCATAAACTTATATGTAAGTTCAATAAAACTTCTATAAGCCGATAAAACAATTAAATTATTATATTAGTTCTAATTAAGAGACCAAGTTAATACAGCCATTACGAAATTTAAGACAATTTATATAGAATTTTAAGATTTAATATAAACATTATAAAGTTTACATAAAATATTTGCGTTTCGGAATCAATTTCAACTTAAAAATCATAGTAATTCATTGGAAAAATAAGGACTACAAGCCTTAAGGCCAAAAAAAAAAGACTGACTTGAACTCTAATGATTTCTATGATCGATTTTAAGGAAAATCAAATCTAATTCAATTATGTTTTTTTTTAATGAACATTTAAATATGTACATATTTGTTTAAAATCGGTAGCAGTGGACATATAGCATGGACCAGAGTTTTTATTTAAATAATTGGCAACATTGTAGATTGTCTTTACTCTACAACTCTTCCATTTTGTCTAACGTACGGCCTATCGATAACTTTCTTAAAAATTCCTTTAATGTACTGCCAAGTTAATTTCATTAATTTGGTTGACCTTTACAATATCTATGTCAATAGGTCATATTGACATAGACATTGGAAAGTTACTAAAGATCTTAGAAAAACACTACAGAATATGCACATTTAGAGGTTTCTAAATGTGCATATTCTGTAGCGTTTTTCTAAGATCTTTAGTATCTTGTTTACTAAAAAGCAATAGCTAAAACTGCAGTACACAGATATTTACAAATGGTCGCGGGGACGCTGGCATCAACCTTCGAGGGAAATTGTCGGGATGGAGTTACATAGGGATTGTACAGGAGGATTTTGATGTAAGGTTCTGGTAAAATTTGGTGAATTTTTCTGGGATAAGGTCTAGGACAAATGGGATGTTAAGGTCATGAACTGAAATGAAATGAAAATATTTTTTTATCATCCTGGGACTGTTGTCCCTTTAGGACAAATTACAGATACAGAGAAAATGCTTGTGTGGCCATACATAAAATTAATTATTTACAATTATTATTAAGATTAAGATTTTGGAAAAAAATAAATAAAACAATTACACTAAAACATACTGGTATGTATAATACAAACGTGGGAAAATAAAATAGCATAAGTAAAGAAAATCATTTCTGGGGGAACTTTAAAAAGTTCTCTTATCTACATTCCATGATCGCTCGGGTTAGGAAAGGAGTAGGTGCTTAAAAAGGAGAGATTTAAATGAGGAAACTGATTGTACATGTCGGATATCGGGAGGGATGGTATTCCAGAAGGAGACGGCTTGAATTATAAAGGATTTGTCAAACATTGCAGTTCGGTGGGGAGGTGGATAGAGCCACTTCAACTTGGTGTAATATTGGGTTATATGCGTGTCTCTTGAGATTTCGAAAACAAAACGTATTGCGCAGTTCATTAGGCGTTTAAGCCATGGTGTTGGGTTTCGTTGGTTACACAGAACGGAGCATCGATTAATGTTCGAAGGACTTTGGACTGTAAGGATTGGATGTGTTTGATATTAGAAAACTTTGCTCTCCCCCAAAGTTCTAGTCTGTAGGTTGAAAGTGAAATTTGAAGAAATTTTCTGGGATAATTTCTAGGAAACCAAAAAAATAATATTAATTTCATGGTGTAAGGTTTTGTTGATTAGATAGAATGATGTTTCTTCTCTATCCGCCCTGATACATGACCTTATGGCAAGAATATCGGTTCGCCTCACTCCAATATTTTGAAGAAAAAAATTAAATCAAAATTAATAACAATTAATCTACATGAATGAATAAAATGTGTAAAATAAAATCAATTAAGGAAATAGGAAAAATCTACTAGATATCCATCTGAAAGCGTTCTACTAGATAGAAGTTAAGGCGTAGATGTTGTCATACAAGTATATTAACACGTTCTATGTTCCTATTATTGGAATTTTTGTTTATATTAATCGATAGTTATATGTAGCAACATATCCTGGTATTTTATGCTTCATTCATTATATTTCCGGCGACATATTTGATGTATCGGAGAATTGAGAGTTCATCTCACTGCCTCAAACCTTTTCTTTTAGCTTTCCTCGTCCATTTTAGTCTGAGTGTAAAGTACTCTAATATGAAGGAGTGATTTTTGCGATAGAGAATTAATATCAAATGAGTAAATGATGAAGAGAGAACACATTCGCACTTCTCCCCACTCCTCAGGTTCTTCCTGCTTGACCAGTTCTTGTCAGGTCGTCTTCGAAGGTGAGCCATTGCACGCAGTTCTTAACCAATAACTCTACAATATTATAACATAATATAATTAATAAAATCACATATGAAATGTACTTATCATTATATTCTTTATGCATGTATATACCTACATGAGCAAAAGCAAAGGAGCACTTTCCATTCTGGTTCGTGGAAGAAGAAGGGGAGAGAACGACGGACTCCCAAAAAAAAGTCTCAGGAGTTAGTGATAAAAATTATGAATGATAATATATAAAATCAACATACGGATTTTAAAACTAGCAATATAAAAAATTATATATATATATATATATAAAACAATAAATTTATATATATACCCGTAAATATTTATATATAAATTTATAAAAATGTATATAAATTTATATATGTCCAGTAAGTAGAAGGAAATTTTTATAGGAGTGATAGCATACCTCATGAGCCACAAAAAAATATATAAACTATGGGCCAATTTCCAATAAGATAAGAAGTAAATTCAAGATTTGTGATTTTTTAAGTGAGTTAAGTTTTTTGTTGAAGAGAAGGCGATAACTACAAAAATAATAAATTAATATAATTAATAATTGCTTCATTTTAGACATGTGTTTTTCTAAAATTAAATGTTATATGTATGGATTTGACATGGTTTAGTTGAATCTTCAATAGTTTGAACCGATCTTTTAATTTAAGTAAGTGATGTAGATTTTTGCGATATCAAACAAGCACTGTGATATAAGATAGAACGGTTAACGATCTATTAGAAACGGTCGTTCTGCTATCGAATGTAACGGTTCTTCAAAGTCATCGCCATATTTATCTATTGCAACTATTTCACTAATTTTCAAAACACGTTGTTAACATTTTCAGGTTCGTTCCTTTATCATCAAACAACAAACCTTAATTGTCTTTGTCAGTAAAATATTTGTATTTATTTCTCAACTTTCAACAAATAGTTGTTATTCGTGTTTTTTAGTTCCTATATATCAAAAAATAAGTAACGAAAACTAACTTTGTCAATAGAGAAAAGGATAAGCGGACATGAACATCCTGCAATCGATCGAGTAATAGCTAGATTATTATTTAACCTGGTTTGGTGATGATGTTGCGAATAACGCAGTTTTGCAAAATGGCGTATGTGTGTTCACGTAAACAGTCTGGCTCAAAAACTTAAAGTAGTACGAAACTGTAATTGCATATTTAAGTTAGATATATGCCTTATTTGTTACACCAACATTTTCTCCAAAACATACTAAGCTGAACTAGCACTTATGTACTCGGTTATACACAATTTACGGTTTTCTCAAAAATCGTACTTACCTATATATGAAATATACAGTAAGGGACAATATTGCGATCGTGAAATTTTTCGAATCTGAGTTTTCAACGGAAATTCATGCTTTGAGGTATACTGAGTCCAAATAACCAAGTCCCGCAAAATGGTCTGTATGTATGTGACAGGTCTAGCTAAAAACCGAAAACTCGTATGAAAATGAACTAGCATATTAATGGTTTGTATGTACCTGAGATGTTACAGCAATTTTTTCGTCAAAATCGGCTAACTGGAAGTGGCATTTTATATCATTAATGAAACACATTTTTACTATTTTCTCAAAAACGGTTATAAGGATTTTGATTGAATTCATGATATCAGTGTAAAATTAAGCAGTTTTAATATTATACAGGTTTTCTTCTCATGGATGTTGTCTAACAAGGCTTAAATGGCTAATTTTCAATATTAGCTTCCTCTAAAGTACATTTTATTTTTATTTGAAACAATTAAC